CTGATCATCCCTCATTCCTGATCCCCCATCTCCCCTCCCCCCATCCCCTGTGCCCCCATACCCTCTGATACCCCACCTCCTGTACCCCTGATCCCCCTGCACCCCTAATTTCTCTGCCCCCTGTGGTCCTGATCATTCCCTCCCCCCACCCCACCCCAATGTTCCCGGTCCTGGCTTCCACCTGCTCCAACCAGGGGCTCTGGGCTGACCTAGAAATCATGTTCACCTTGGAACTCCTGACAGGCCTTTCTTTCTTTCTTTCTTTTTCTTTTCTTTTCTTTTTTCTGTCAGTCGTGGGTCTTGAACTCTGGGCCTGGGTGCTGTCCCTCAGCTCTTCAGCTCAAGGCAAGCGCTCAACCACTGGAGCCATAACTCCATTCCAACTTTGTTGTTGTTGTAATTTAGTGGAGATAAGAGTCTGTCTAGGCTGGCTTTGAACCAGGATCCTCCTTCAGATCTCAGCTTCCTGAGTAGCTAGGAGGAACGGGGAGTTTGTGAGATTACCCCCTCCCTATCTCCTCCTGGGGTTGGCCTTCTACAAAGCAGTTGAGGAAGAAGACAAGAAAAAGAAAAAGCAGTTCTGGCCTGGCCACCCTGTAACTCCTCACTCTGAGTTAGCATTTGGGTCCCAGAGGGACTGGGCTCTGTCTTTGACACCTGGAAAATGTACGTCCTAGCATTGTAGGGGTGTGTGTGTGTGTGTGTGTGTGTGTGTGTGTGAACATCACTCCAGCTCTTGACCTGGCTGGGTGGGAGAGGGGTATCCCGTGCCCATAAGGACATAGATGAATCCCATCCCTTCCCCTTTCCTCCCCCCTCCCCCCCACCCCGGCCTCAGAATCATCAATGCAGAGAAGTCAGAGTTCAATGAGGACCAAGCTTCCTGTGGCAAGCTGTGCATTCGGCGCTGTGAGTTGGAGTCAGAAGACCAAGAATGGCTGATGCTGTGCCCAGAGGAGGTGAATCGAACCTGATGCCCTTTCTCTTTCTCTTTCCCTCTCCCTCCCTCTTTCTTTTTCGTTTTTGTCAACTGTGGGGCTTGAACTCTGGGCCTGGGCGCTGTCCCTCAGCTCTTCTGCTCAAGGCTAGTGCTTTACCACTTGAGCCACAAGCCACTTCCGGTTTTCTGAGTGGTTCATTGGAGATAAGAGTCTCACGGACTTTCTTGCCTGGACTGGCTTTGATTCTCAGATCTCAGCCTCCTGAGTAGCTAGGATGACAGGCGTGAGCCACCACGGCTGGTGTGAAGATAGGTTTAAAGCTGAACATGGAGTTCTTCTTGTGCAGCTCCTGACTGGTCATTACTGGGCACTGTTTGATGGGCATGGCGGCCCTGCAGCTGCCATTCTGGCTGCCAACACCCTACATTCCTGCCTGCGCCGGCAGCTGGAGGCGGTGGTTGAAGGTCTGCTGACTCCTCAGCCACCCATGCATCTTAGCGGCCGCTGCGTCTGCCCCAGTGACCCCCAGTTTGTGGAGGAGAAGGGGATCAGGGCAGAAGATTTGGTGATCGGGGCTCTGGAGAGCGCTTTCCAGGAATGTGTGAGTATGGTACCCCCACTACTCCTTCCTCCAGTGATCTGAGGAAGCAGATCATTCCCTCCCCCCCCCCGTTTTTTTTTTTTTTTTTGCTTGTCCTTGGGCTTGAACTTGGGGCCTGGAACCTTTTTGTTTTTGTCAGTCATGGGGCTTGAACTCTGGGCCTGAGCGCTGTCTCTGAGCTCTTCAGCTCTACCACTTGAGCCACAGCACCACTTCCGGTTTTCTGGTGGTTCATTAGAGATCAAGAGTCTCATTTTCCTGCTGGGGCTGGCTTTGAACCTCGATCCTTAGACCTCAGCCTCCTGAGTAGCTAGGATGACAGGCATGAGTCACCAGCACCAGGCAAGGGGAAGGGCTCCTTTGCTCAAGGCTAGAGCACTCTACCACTGGAGCCACAACCACTTCCCGTTTCCTGGTGGTTTGTTGGAGATAAGAGTCTCTGGGACTTTCCTTCCCCGGGCTGGCTTTGAACTGTGATCTTCTGATCTCAGTCTCCTGAGTAGCTAGGATGACAGGTGTGAGCCACCAATGCCAGGCCGGACCTGTCACCCCAATCAGTGGCTTGGGACTGGGGAAGCAAAATTGGATTGGTTGGATCATTATTAGCCATCACTATCATCCTTTACTTCTCCCTATGAGCTAAATGCTCCCGATCTACATCCTTCCATTCACTGAGCATGCTTTAGCTCTTGGTTGCAGGGAGGGGACTTGGGAAGCTGGTTTCTCTTCCTCTGCTTTGAGTAGCACTTCCTGTCTAGGTTTCTGGGTCGTGGCTGGGTCTGCAGGCAGGCTTGCTGCAGGAAATCTATAGGTTGGGGATGGGAGGCAGTGGTGTGTGGTGTGGTATGGGCAGCTGACATGGCCTTGTTTTGCTCCAGGATGAGGTGATCGGAAGGGAGCTGGAGGTCTCAGGTCAGGTGGGCGGCTGCACGGCCCTGGTGGCTGTATCTCTACAGGGAAAGCTGTATGTGGCCAATGCTGGGGACAGCAGGTGAGTGAACCCATGGAGGGTGGACAGGGTGTGTGTGTGGGGGGAGGGAGGAAGTCAGGCAGTGGTGAAGGGTCCCAGAAGCAGTGGGGAACTAGGAAAAGATGGTTAAACGGTGGAATTAGAAATGGGAAATGTGTCAGGTGCCCGTGGCTCACGCCTGCCATCCTAACTACTTACACGGGAGGCTGAGATCTGAGGATGCTGGTTCAAAGCCACCCTGGGCAAGAAAACTGGTGAGACTCTTTTTTTGAGGGTCAGTTGTGGGGCTTGAACTCAGGGCCTGGACGGTGTCCCTGAGCTCTTTTGCTCAAGGCTACGCGCTCTACCATTTGAGTCACAGATCTACTTCCGGTTTTAAAGTGGTTCAGTGGAGATAAGAGTCTCATGGGGATTTTTCTGCCCAGGCTGGCTTTGAACTGTGATCCTCAGATCTCAGCCTCCCTGAGTAGCTAGGATGACTGGTGTGAGTCATCGATGCCCGGCAGTCGTGGAGGGTTTTGAGCAGGGGATCAGCACTGCTAGAAGAGGCTCTTGGTGGTTGGAATGGCTGGCGGAAGAGTAGCCATGGTTTTAGGAGTTTGCCCCATCTCCTCCCTCCTTCCCTTCAATCCTATCTAGGGCCATCTTGGTAAGGAAGGATGAGGTCCGGCCCCTGAGCTTTGAGTTCACTCCTGAGACCGAACGGCAGAGGATCCAGCAGCTGGTAGGATCTCTTAGGGGGAGACCATTGGGCTCTTCAACTCCTAGAATCCAGGACCATAAGAGACCCTTCCCACCCCCCTTGCCAAGGAGGAACCTGACCTGAGCATCGTCCTTCTACTTTAGGCCTTGGTCTACCCTGAGCTTCTGGCTGGTGAATTTACCCGCCTGGAGTTCCCACGGCGGTTGAAAGGCGATGACTTAGGGCAGAAGGTTTTGTTCAGAGATCACCACATGAGTGGGTGGTGAGTGAGACAGGATCGGGGTGGGGGGGGGGTTGGACAGGGTGGGGACGGAGAGGACCCACAGCTGGGCTTGGAGCGATCCTCTTCAACTTGGGCTGATCTTGCCATTTACTTTTGTATTTCTGGCCGGTGGTGGGGCTTGAACTCTGGGGCCTGGGTGCTCTCTAGCTCAAGGCGAGCGCTCTACCCCTTGAGCCACGGTGCCACTTCTGGCTTTTGCTGCTTATGTGGTGCTGAGGAATCGAACCCAGGGCCTCATGCATGCTGGATAAGCACTCTACCACTGAGCCACCTTCCCAGCACCCCCCTGTGTTTACTTTTGATAGGAGCTATAAGCGTGTGGAGAAAGCCGATCTCAAGTACCCACTGATTCACGGGCAGGGTAGGCAGGTAAGTCCCTGGACTCCCAAGAATGACTTAGCAGTGTCAAGGGCTGGCAGTCTTGGAACCATCCATCCACTGGTCCCCTTCCCTCGCCATCAGGCAAGGTTACTGGGAACGCTGGCTGTCTCCCGAGGTCTCGGAGACCATCAGCTTAGAGTCCTGGACACAAACATCCAGCTGAAGCCCTTCTTGCTCTCCATCCCACAGGTAAGGAGAGATGGAGAAGGCCCCAAGGTGGTCCACCTGCTCAGAATCTACAAGCTTGGGGAGGGGAGCAAAAAGGGGATTCTCAGGTTTCACTTTGCAGGTGACCGTGCTGGATATGGACCAGCTGGCCTTGCAGGAGGAGGATGTGGTTGTCATGGCAACCGACGGGCTCTGGGATGTCCTGTCCAATGAGCAGGTGGCACGGCTGGTCCGGAGCTTTCTCCCCGGGAATCGTGAAGATCCACACAGGTATTGCAGCTGCTGGGGGTTGATGCCAGCAACAAATATCAAAGCATCATATAGCTGGGTGCTGGTGGCTCATGTCTGTAACTCTACTCTGAGGATCGTGGTTTAAAGTCAGCCTTTTCCGTGAAACTCTTAATCTCCAACGAACCACCAGAAAACCGGATGTGGTGCTATGGCTCAAGTGGTAGAGCGCTTGCCTTGAGCTGAAGAGCTCAGGGGCAGTGCCCAGGCCGAGTTCAAGCCCCACGACCAACCAAAAAAATAAAAGTAGAGTACTAGCTTTGAGCAAGCGTTCAGGGACAACTTCCAGGCCCTGAGTTCAAACCCCGTGACCACCACCACTACCACCGTCAGCAGAAAGATCCAGATATCCTTGGGGTTTAGATTGATTTCTGTAAACCTAGCCTGTGGTCTCCCCGTCTATTGCTCGCTGGGCCTGTAATGGGGAGTGCATTTTGGGGGAACTTTCCCCGAAGTGTCCAGCTGCGTACATCTGCAGGATGGTCTTTGCAGGTTCTCGGAGTTGGCCCAAAAGCTGATCCTGAGCACACAGGGGACAGACGGCAGTGCTCCAGAAGAGGTGTCCCATGATGACATCTCTGTGTTCGTGATTCCCTTACACAGCCAGAGCCAAGGGGGCCGTGGCCCATGAGGATGCAGACTTCTGTGTTCCAGAACTTCTCCACGGCCGGCCACAGACACATTCTGTTGTTGGCTTCCACCTCAGCTCTCCTGGGGGTACAAGTCAGAAATGGAAGAGCAGGAACAGTCTAAGCCTCTTCTCTGGTCGAGGAGAGACTCTTATTTTTGCCCGTCCTGGGGCTTGAACTCGGGGCCTGGGCACTGTCCCTGAGCTTCTTTGGCTCAAAGTGAGCGCTCTACCACTTGAGCCACAGCACCACTTCCGGATTAAATAGTTTCCTGGAGTATAAGAGTCTCACAGTTTCCTGCTCCAGCTGGCTTGGAACTATGTGATCCTCAGCTCTCAGCCTCCTGAGTAGCTAGGATGACAGGTGTGAGCCACATAGCCATCTTGAAGGCAGCTCCTGAGAACCAGTTCCAATCCTGCTCTCCCACAGGATAGAGCACAGGCCCTAGTGAAAAGCTGTGGGGAACAAAGAGAGGCACTTCTAGTTGGTGGGTATGGAGTGCTCACCTTGTCTCTAGCCTGGCCGTGTAGCTCCATGCTTCTCCCTAGCCCAGCCCTCCCCATTGTCTATTAAAAAAAAAAGGTCTGCCCTGCAGAAGAGCTCGTGTGAACTGTGACTTGCTTGTACAACATGGCTTAAGGTGCTAGCTGCTATTTCTTGTGGCTTTCCAGTGGATTCTTCTTAGCTTCTCTTCAAGATGCTGGCAATGTGGCTTAGTGGTAGAGTGCTTGCCTAGCATGTGTGAAGCCCTGGGTTCGAGTCCACTGTACCCCATAAAACAGAAAAAGCCAAAAGTGAAGTGGTGCTGTGGCTCAAGTGGTAAGAGTGCTAGCCTTGAGCCAAAGCAGCTCTGAGTTCAAGGCCCAGGACTGGCAAAAACAGTAACAACAAAAACTATAGATTTAGCTGGCGACAAGCTAGGTCTGTAGCTCTAGAAGTGGTGGATTACAAGATACCTTCACAACCTCAGCTTTATCCGACTGTCCCTTACTCCTAGTTTACAGTTGCGGTAAGCAGGCACTGGTAGCTCCAATGCACCACCAAAAAGCTGCAAGTGAGCCAGATGCTGGTGGCTCGCGCCTGTAATCCTAGCCGCTCAAGAGGTTGAGATCTGAGGATCATGGTTCAAACCAGCCTGGGCAGGAACGTCTGTGAGACTTGTATCTCCAATGAACCACCAGAAAACCGGAAGTGACACTGTGGCTCAAGAGATAGATCGCTCGCCTTGAGCTGAAGAGCTCAGGGACAGCCCCCTGGCCCAGAGTTCAAGCCCCAAGGACCCTCCCCACCCCCTCACAAAATTGAGGTGAATTTTCCCAGCTTAACTCAGCCATCAGCTGTAGTCAGGAAGATCTACCAGAGCTGACGGTGAGAATTGTCATCTGAGAGGTTCTCAGAACTACCCGCCCTGCTCCTTCATCTTATTTGCTGTAACCTGTCCAGGGAAGACAGAAAAATGATACCACCTCGTCCTTGCTTTTCACATAGCTGGGATTCAGACTAGAATGTGTGGTCTGAACCTGTCTCCAGCTGAGCCCTGTCGGTCCCCTGAGCCTGTGGGTGAGGCTTGAGTGCTACCCTACCAGGCTGAAGTGTGACTTCCTTCCTCAGCAAGCCCTCCCCGCCTCCCTGAGAGAAGCGTGGGCACTTCCTGTGCGGGCCTCTTAACCCACAGCAAGTGCTGAGCCAGCTCACCCCCACAGCCTGTCCGTCCGTCCATCTAGTCCTGCTCCTCACATGAAGCCCAGGGAAGTACAGACAGCCAAAGAGGGGTACAAAAGTGGTCACACAGGCCACATGTCACTCAGGAGAAGCAAGGACTGTGGCTCTCTCCTGCCAGGCTTCTGTGTGTGCGCCAGTCCTGGAGCTTGAACTCAGGGCCTGGGTGCTACCCTGAGCTTTTGTGCTCAAAGCTAGCGCTCTTATTAACCATTTGAGCCACAGCTCCACTTCTGGCTTTTGGTGGCTAACTGGAGATGCATCTCATAGACTTTCCTGCCTGGGCTGGCTTTGAACCACAAGCCTCAGATCTCAGCCTCCTCAATTGCTAGAAAGGCGTGAGCCACTGGTGACTGGCGATCCTGTCAGAGCTGATGGGGCTTCTTTTTCTTGAGTAGAGGGAGTCATCGTTTCCCAGTGTCACCATTAGTCTTAGCGACACTCTAGTGACAGATCCAAGGTTTTTGGGGCTTGGCTGGGCTGAAGTGGGAAACAGCTCCTGCAGCTTTGAGAATGTTGAAGGAGAGAATAGCAGGCTCCAGGAAATTACCAACTCACTCCTTAGCCAGGCAATGAATTACCATCCAACTGGCTAGACCATTCTTCTTGCCCTCCATAAGACCCAGATGCCAGTGGCTCACACCTGTCATCCTAGCTACTCAGGAGGCTGAGTTCTGAGGTTCCTGGTTCAAAGCCAGCCCAGGCAGGAAAATCCGTGAAACTCTTATCTCCAATAAACCGGAAGTAGCACTGTGGGAAAAAAAAAGTTGCCAATCTGATCACTGTTTCTACCTAGGACGACAGAGGGAGACCTGTAGGAGCTAGAACCTTCGGCAGCGCCCCCTCTCCCTCCTGCCCCCTGCAACCAGGCAAACAAGGCTAGAGAAACTCAATGGAAGAGGCTACAGCCGTAACGTTCTGTTTAAGACCGATAACATGGGGGAAAAAAGTTTATATGTTTTAAGTACAAAAAGGACATAAAATTGTATGTACAGTAGAATAACAACTATGTAAACACACCCCAAATCTATGCACAGAAATGTCTAGAGAAACATTTAACATCAACAGATTTAACATAATATGTGAGTCGCCCACGATTCTGTAATTCTCTCAAATTTTCCTTAGTAAGCAATAATTATGATTACAACAGGGAATCACTTAAAAAAGAAAAAAAAAATTAAAAGGAGGAAAAGAAAATACCCCACTGGAGAGCTGGGAGTGTAGGTCACATGGTAGGGCACTTGCCTAGCAAGTGCCAAGGTCCTGGGTTCAATTCACACTACCCTAAAAAACAAAAAAAGAGGGTAAGGGAAGGGGAAAAACCAAAAAAAACCCCACTGGAGTTGGGCATGATAGTGAATGCCTAAGATTGTACAATTGGAAAAGTGAGGCCAGCCTGAACCTACATTGTGAGACCTTGCCTACACACACACACACACACACACTTACTTGCACATGCGTGCACACACGGTACCCCACCACATACATCAAAGCAGTGGCTACCCACGCCTCACTTCTAGCTCGTCTCCCCAAGGCTAGAGCTCTGCAGTTTTCAGGGCTTGTTGGTGGTGGCATGTTTTCTGAAGACATGGCACCTCAGATTTTGGACACAGAGGAAGTCAGATACGAATTGTTTTCTTTCTTGATGCTGGGTAAAGTCAAGTCTTTTCTCTGAAAAGACTCAGAAGCATTGATGCCCTACGCCCCTCCACACCGGGAGAGGTACAAGCCTCCTACCGTGCGGGCACCACACCGTACCATACAGCAGATTCTTGTCTGCTGTAACACAGGTGTCTGTCTCTTGTCTTTTCAGCGTGAATAACAAGTAAAAAAATAATTGCTTTTTTTTTTTAAAAAAAAAAAGAAGAAAAAAAGAAAAAAGTGCTAGTGATTCATAGCCTGTGATTGCTGCTGAACAGCAGCAGTCACGGCTGGACTGACTCCTGGCAGCTGCGTACCGCAGGGTGATTTATACATAACCTTGTTGGGCCTCAGTTTCTCCATGTGCAGGGGAATGCTAACCCCAGAAATGTTTGGGTGGGAACTTAAGTCACTGACTCTGCCGTGGCTCTCTGCCACCTGGGCCTTTCTCAGAAGCAAGCAAGCAAGAGAGCACGAAAGACCAAGCAGCTAATGGGAGTAACCTATTCAATTGGCAAAGAAGCTTCGGACAAATGAAGAACACTGGTTCTAGCACCCTGTCCCCAAATGTGGCAAGCTAGGCACGGAAGCCATGCAAAAGTGACAGACACACACACACAGGTGCAGACAGCATAACCAGGTGAAAAAGAGACTAATACTGTAGAGAGGGCCCCAAAGTGTGGGTTGAGGCACACACGGGGTCAACCCTTCACTTAGCTGCCAAGGGAAACAGCAAACACTAGAAGGTTTGCTTCATCAAGTCTCCCAAAGGGAAAAGAGGAGGGGGGAGGAAGGACTAACACTGGTGGCAAACACTTTAAGCAAGGGTGCAGGCCTCCCTCCTTGAGCTGGATTCCAAAACTATACACGAGAGAGAAGAGAAGATGCCTGCACAAGTATATTTAAGTGGAGGTGCGCACGCTGTGCTAAAATACAAACAATGCAAAGGTCATATATAAAAAGGCTAAATAGAACATATAACACAGGCCTAGAGCCAGCTCGTTGGAGGGGAGCTGGGAGATCGTTCTGGGGTGTCATCTGCAAACTATGTACACAGTTGGTGGTAGGCAGGGGAGGCGGCATCATTGTAAACAACACAGACTCGTTCCACAACACTGGCCCACTGGGAGTGGGATGCACCGCAGGAACCAAGCTGGGCTCCTGCCCCGCCGCTTCTGTACAAAGCATGTGCAGCAGGCACCCAAAAGGACGATGGGCTTAGATGGGTGTGGAGGACTGTCTAGCCCTTGGAACTCACCTGTCTGTCACTTGACCTACCCTACACCAGAGCCTGAGGCCTGACCAGATCCCCCACCCTCACAGATCTAACTTGCACCACACCATGCTTCCTTCGCTTCTCCTGTGCCTTCCTCAGACCCCCGACGCCCGTGAAGACTTCACTTCTGGAAATGTTTGGCACCTAAGAAACACGATGGCTGTGGAGTAATGCCACGAATACAAAAGGAGACCCCAGTAACAACACATGCAGGGTGAGGGCAAGGGCACAGAGCGCCCCTGGCATCTCAAAACCACAACGGAGGCTTCCCATGCATTTATCAGGGGAGAGGAAGGATGTGCAGAACGGACCCCCATCCCCGGCTCCTCGGCAGCAATTACATTCAAAGTTCCAGGCGCCCAACAGCCCGTGACCTAGCCGTGAGTGTGCTCGGCCCGCCGGAGGAGCCGGAGGCGGTGCTGGCTGGAGAGGCCGCGTCCCAATTCAGTCTTCAGCACCAGGGTCCATCTGGAGAAGCTCAGCAAAGTCGCAGTTTTTGTGTCAGATACAGCACATCCGTGGGAAGGCATGGTGGAAAGATGGTTTCCGGCAG